TGTGAACTGAGCATTGAGGATTTAAGTCCTGGCAACTACAATTCATTTAGTTTTTGGCAATGCTGAGTTGGTTGTGGTAGAGTATGTGATGATAAACATAAGGTCGTAGCCCGTAGCTAGGCACAAAAAAGTCCTAATTTAATGGGGCAATAGGATACAAGAGTAATTAACCTGTCTTCAGTCGAAACTAGAACCTCACCCAAATAATCTACACTCTATAGCTTCCTGGGCACCAAGGCAATCACCCACCGCCCAAGCATCCTACACGGGGTCAGGCTATTCTGTACACCTTTGGCAACCTGGACATGAATAAGAGACACTCTGCCGAGAAGGAAGCGCCCTGATGTTTTCCTCCGGCTCCTATTTATCCAGTGAGTAAGTACTTGCTCTTCAGCCAAGTAACTTGCCAAGGACTGTACTTCTGTGAAAAACTCTGTTTCCTAGTTTGTTCCTTTGTTGTTTCCTATTAAACTCTGTTGTGTTATGCTAACAGGTTGACAAGGATGAAGATCCTTACCAGAATGAGAGGAGGTATGAAGAGTTTTGTGAAGCTAGAATGAAGCTTCCACTCGGATATGAGTTGTGCACTGTATGTTTTTTTTAAGAGCCCTGGAGACATGGAAATGCAGTAGTACGTTCTGGGAATGTAAGTTAATCACTAATGAATTAATAGTAGCTTATTTCATCTTCTTGAGCATAACTGAGTTTTGACCTGCAGATGCTCTATCATTTCAATTGCCACAACACTCCAGGTGTCAAATGTGGTGAAGAATTATGTACGGTTAGGTTCCGCAGCTGTGAACGTCAGCAGTTATACAGATCCTATTGCACAAGTATTTGGGAGGTAAGGTGACTCCTTCTCATGTGCATGCTGAAAGAAATGATGTGATAGTTGATACTAACTTTTGTTATTGTTAATGTAGACCAAGCCAGAGTTGCGGTATGACAGGTTTTGTCGAGGTAGGGTGTAGTACAATCTGTTGGGAAGATTTGCAGCAGCTAAAGGTGTCTGCAAGTATGGCCTGAGATTGAAGAACCACATGGTGTGCTAATAAAAGCTACAAAGAGATGAACTATTGTATGCTTTTGTTGGATGATGGGTTGACATGTCGTGTGAGAGTGATGTCAAACGACAAACTGTGAGCCTAGTGCGATCATGTTGTTGAGAAAATGGTTTTCTTGGATGATGTTCTGCAACTACTGTGGAAGTTATCTTTACTTTGATCGATCGAAATGTGTTTGCTAGAATGTTATTCACATGGGAGGAGATGGTAACAAGCGTCGGTTTGATCATGGTGACATTCACTTATTGGTTATGAGTTTTACATGTGTATCACGTGGTCACAGTTTACCGTAGGTTTGACTGTTTCTAGGAGAGTTGTTGAGGATGGGTATTTCTGTTTAAGGTCAGCTTGGGGCGAAACCTGCAGGACGTGGTAAGAAGTGCCAAGGAAGTATCCTGTGTTTTCTTTACTGATCATCCATTCATCCTGATGCCGTCCTGTGGACATGTGGTAGCATGTGATTCTGTTTAAAATCCCAGGAGGTGTCTTCTCCTCAGTTTCGTTTGGAATGTGAGTGCTCATTTGAGATCAACTGCTCCTTTTCTTTAAGTATTCAAAAACTGAATCCTTACCAAGGATAAAGGTGGTAGCATGGTAATAAAGGTTGTCCTTTTTGCTCCAGAATCAGAAGATCACATGTTTTTTTTTCCGGTGTCTGCTGGCTTGATATGTGGAAAGCCATCCAGTCTTAGTGAATTGTTCGAGCGCTGGGTGAATGGTTTCAGCAACATAACTCAAAAACCAGTATTGGCTGGGATTTCAGTGGTTTGTAGGGGCTATGTGGAACTGGGACACAAGAAATGTCTTACTGTCAGCATATTTTATACTCCCTCCGTTCCTAAATACTTCTTTCTAGAGATTTCAACAAGTGACTACATACGGCGCAAAATGAGTGAATCTACATTTTAAAATATGTCTACATGCATCCGTATGTTGAGTCCATTTGAAATGCCTAGAAAGACAAGTATTTGGGAACGGAGGGAGTACCTAATTATCCTAACACCGTCGTTCACTGTGTTTTCAGATCAATGCATGCTTTGTAGGAGGAGCAAATCAATGAGAAGCCGCTGCTGAGAATTTGGTGTGTGTGTTTGTTGGATGGCATCGACAGATGCTTTCAAAAGATGGGCTCCGGTGGCGATGAGGAAACTTTGAGTTGGATGACAGAATTTTCGTACCTGCCCCACTTGTTTTCTTCCCCATGTTCTTGTCGCAATTTCAATGAATATTACACCCTTCGATCCAAAATAAGTGCGCAGTTTCAAACTAAGGTTAGTTGAACCTTAGTTTGAAACTGCGACACTTATTACGGATCGGAGGGAGTACTATTTTGTCAATGTTTCGCATCTAACCTGAACTTGGTTTAGCTTCTGTAGGCTTGTCTGTCTGATGCCTTCATGTCGCTGTGAACTGAAGCTTGTTCTTTATACGAGAAGAAGCAAGAAAATATGCCGGCAGACATTTGGATTTCCTCCATAGATTTCAGAATAGTAATGGACCATAAGTAGTCGTGTTCCCTACCGTCGGTAGACTGCTGAAGGAGCAATGGTTAGCCTTGCAAGGGCGATTCTGAGTTGCTTCTCCTCAAAAGACCGCTACTAGGAAGAATATAAACCCAAGGAAGAAACAGGCACGAAGATAGCTCATATTCTGCCAAATAGGAGCGATGTGTCTCAAGATGAAACTAGTAGATATGTCGAAACAATATACTCCCTCTGTCCCATAATATAAGAGCATTTTTTACACTAATACGCTCTTATATTATGTATTTTAAGTATCTTCTCTAGTGCTGCTTCTTGCTTGGTTCATGTCTGAACTTTCCATCGACAGAGGTTTTTGTTTATTACACAATCAAAATTGAGATTTGATATGATTCTTCCATCAACAAAGGTCCTGTGCTAATGGTAAATTAAGATTAAAAAGCTTCTCTTAGAAATATGACCTTGACATATACTCCCTCCGTCCCAAAATTCTTGTCTTAGATTTGTCTAGATACAGATGTATCTAATACTAAAACGTGACTTGATACATCCTTATTCCTTATTTGGACAAATCTAAAACAAAATTTTTGGGACGGAGGGAGTACCAAGGATTGCAGACACAGTCAATTGAGAATTTGACAGCTGCACAATATCAGTTAACTGTTTTTGTTTACTGGTGTTGATGCAAAATGACACGTTCAGATTATTGTCAGATTCTGCGAACATTTTTAATGCAATATGGAAGAAAATTCTTATCCTTGGCAGCTTGCGTTTCAATATATTGAAAAGATAGAAAAGGTTGCCCCTAAAAAAATAGAAAAAGTTTTACAGGCCAAAAGAAAGACCAAGGGCCAAAGCCGAAGAACATCATTGGTCTATCCTTCTGGCTCAAACTTCCCCTGTTTGACATTGCAAGATCAGCAGCATCGAACCTACTCATCTCAGATTCTTGCACCTCACATCTGAGGGTTTCCACTTTGACTGATATTCTGAACCAAATACGGAGGGCAGTATGGATTCTTTCTGCTTGTGCTGTGATAGTTGAAGACTTGGTGAGCAGTCACAAGCCTCTGCCATAACTGAGTGATTTGCGAAGTTCTTTAAAATTGAAGGATCAGATCCTTTAGGTTGATTATTTCGCCTTCTGAATATCTTCAACATCAGGCTTGCAACAGAGTGTGGAGTCGTGCAATAGCATTCACTACATTAAGCAAGATCGCTTGAAGTCAATGATCAAATATCCCTGTGTTTAAAATGAGTGTTCTCCAATACGGCTAAAATCATACAATCAATTACCATATTAATAAAGAAGAGTGCATTGATGGATTACTTCAATAATATTTTCATAGCAAATAGAATAGATGAATCACTTGCCTACATTGCAGCCTTCTTCTTGCTTACACAATTAACTGCAGTTTGGGACTACAGCGCAAACAGAGCAAGATAGGGATAGATTGATGGAGCCACCATAAGTAGGTGCCTCTGTTACATCTATCTGGATTGCACTGACTGCAGGAATGTACCAATGATAATGCATAAATAAAATATGGTTAATGAAGTGAAAAGATAATTCCTCTTTTCAAGAAATTCAGCCGTAGAGATGTATATTCTCGGAATGTTGCCCGCATGGCTTATCATATTTTCTGGATAAAGGGCCAGTGTGAGGAAATGTATTGATGTTCACCATGGATCATTAACGGATGCAGCGAAGTGAAAGATAACAGAAAATAGGGTGCTGCTAGAGTCAAAAGAAAAATAAACTAAACATAGACAAGCAAAAAAGGCAGTAACACGCCCTCATAATTATCCATCAAAGTACTGATGAAGATGCCAAAAACATCATGATCTGCCTGTCCTATGGCTATTTATGTGAAGACCTTCATCTCCAAACTAGTTGTGTGTTTTTCCTGTAACACAAACTTAATCTCATTGCCGCCATACATAAGCCCACACGCTATTGTATAAAGCAGGAAGGTGAAACTGAAAAGGAAAGGTTGGCCTGACCTTATAGTAAATTGGGTGACACCTAATCTAAGCAACATAGGAATATGCAGCTTTTGACCCCAAAAATAAGATCATTGTGTAAATTAAATTTCTAAATAGCCACTTCACATCCACCAGCAAGTGACGTGAATTATGGTTCTCAAAACCTTGACCCCACTATAATATACATAAACATGCCACTAAGGTGCATTCAAAGAAAATTACATACATTTGAAGCTTATCTATAAGACTATAATACATGTCGCCTTTATCTTCTCCATGCCACCAATCTTAAGCAACAAAGGAATATGCACTATTTGATGCAGAGCTTACAGCTGGCTTTTAAACCCCCGACTCTCGCCAACTGTAATTTCCTCAAAATCAATGATCATAACTTATTCCCTTTTCCTTCCATACAAAACATTTTCATTATATCTGCTATACAATTATATTATCTGGACATGAAGAAAACTCATTGTCTGTCCAATGTTGGATGCCATTTTGTAAGACTGGGGGTTATCCATATGGGAGTAGGCCAGTTGGACCAAAGCTGAGGGGAGACAAGTTCCTCACTACTGTTATATGTTAAGTCAAAAGCTGCAATGTCACGGCGGTTATTCTTGTAATAGTTTAGATACTCGTGGTCGTCAGCAACATAGACGGTGTTTGCCTTCAACTGTGGATATTCTTCAGCACTGAGACAAAGTGATTGGTTCAGCCCAACCAGCAACACATGATCCATCAAGCTATTTATTTCCATAACCTTTTCAGCCATAGTCTCAACTTTAAATATTTTTATCCCATCAGTATAGTGCACATGTGTTGCATTGTCAGCACGTGGATCATAATCAACCACATCTTGGGATCTAAAAACTTGCATCAGATCCCCACATGGAGCCTGAACAATGTAAATTGTTCGACAACTGTAATTATCTGCGCAGCCTGTAATTACCTTTGCTGCGACCACAGGGCCTCTGAGATCGAAGACGTGAATTTCTCCTAGCAATGTCACTGCATATAACTTACTGTCTTTGTACAAGCAGTCTTGAAAAAAAAACAATGTGGTTTCAGCCAGGTCCACTTGTCATCCCCTAACCAAGCAAATGAGAGCTGCCCATCTGGATTGTGAATAAGCACCACGATATAGGCTCCTGCAGATGCATCATAAAATACTACGGTGGTGTCGCAGCTCGCCAAGATCAACGGGTTGAGGGCCGGTGGTACTACGGTGCTCCGCTGTGTCACGAGAGTAAATGTACTTACATAAGGCACCTCTTTCATCAAAAACAGGAGTCACATGTGCGATGGTGATCACCGACGGGAGAGCGATCTGTTCACATGTGATGGGATTGAGAATATGCATCTCGGATCTCTCATCAGCAGTAACCAGCCAGCCATTTGATGACCCAATCAGATACCTGCTGCGAATAGGTGGCTCCGGGAGAGTCAACTTGTATGACCTCTTCTCCAAGAGGCTGTAGAGGCACGCAACGCTTTCACCAGCAGATTCAGATGTGTATAAGAGGCACGGCGTCTGGCGTTGCTGGTACTGCTCAAGGTTGCGCAGGCTGGAATACGCGGAGCGCCACGAGGAGCAGACGAAGCTGGCACGCATCAGGTCAGGGATCTCCAGGTGTGCAAATATAGACATCAGGACATCTTGTGGCAGCACTGGTAATTCGGCAACTGCAACCTCCATCGGTGGTCCATGGATATCTTCTTTGAGGAATTTCGTCGGAGAACCTGAAGGTAGAAGACCTAGCAGCTTAGGCACTGTGATGAAGACCAGAGAACGCAGATTCCTCCGGTGGATGGCTAGACTCGAAATCTTGGATACGCTACAGGTACCACCCATTGGAGATAATAAATCAGCTCTTTCAGAACAACAATTGCTTGTTGGAAGGTTGCAATCTTGGATGGGCCACACGGAGAGCACGGCCAGGCAGGCTCTTGGGCGTACTTATGGGTGGCCTCCCCTCCTCTGCTGCGAGCTAATTCTGTGACGGAAATCCGACTCCGATTACGCCACTCCCAAAAGAGGTTCAGACTTTGAATCGATCCGGTTGCCCAAAGAACTCCGAGCACTGCTGGTTCTCCTCTGCAGGACTGAATCGAATCCGAGAGACCGAAGAACAGAACTAACCCGAGAGAGAGTAGCAGGCTCAGCAACCCAGCTCCGCGAACCACGAGGAGACGGAGGATGGTGGGGAGGTGGGGATTCGCTCGGCCTTCATCGTCAGATGCTGTCACACCCGGTAGGAGATTTGGAGCGGATCGAACTAGTTTATTGCAGATCTCACGCAGGAGAGAAAGGGGAAAGTAGGAGCAAACTAGGGTTTGTATTGATATAAGAGGTATGATTGTATCAGGGAGATATTATCAACATAATTCCATAGCGAATCCAGAGGGCAGCTGCCAGCTTTATAGCTGCAGCTGGCAAACGGATGAAACAACACAGTAGGGCAAGAGAAACGGTAAAGTAAATGGTAACAGTTGGTGGAGTAGGCGAGCCCCGCGAGCCGTACGATGCGCCGAACCGTCTTGCACCAGAGCCGTCCGATAACTGAAGAAAGTGAGCTGCTCGTTGACACCTTGGACCCGACAATACCCCGGGCGAAAACAAACTTGTCCTCAAGGAGTTGATCGGTTGAACCACTTGTCGATGGTGCTCTTAAAGAAAGCAGGGAACGTTTTCTTCATGAATGACGCGTCCTCCCAAGAAGCTTCATCAAGGGGAAGATTTGCCCATTGCACAAGCCACTGGACTACGGGAAGGTTGTTGTGTGCCACCTGGCGGTTTCCAGAACGAGGACTGGTTCTATCTGAATCATGCCGTCCGCTCGAACCAGGGGCAGGTCTGCACACAGGACTGCTTTAGGGCCAACATGCTTCTTCAATTGGCTAACGTGGAAAACTGGGTGGATATTGGTAGCATCAGGCAGGAGCAGCTTATACGCCACGCGACCAACTTTCTTGATGATCCGGAAGGGTCCATAGTATTTGCTCTGGAGCTTAATGTGTGTACACAAGCCGAAAGCATTGAGGCGATACGGGTGCATTTTTAAGTACACCATGTCCCCAACTTCCAAATTCCTCTCCGTTCGTTTGCGATCAGCGTATTTCTTCATGTGAGCTTGAGCTGCAGCTAGGTTGAATTTCAGGTGCAGTAGCAGAGCATCTCTATCCTGAAAGAACTGTTGTGCATCCCCATTCAGTTGGTCAGGCGGAATGTTTTCGCCGATATTGGGAGGGGGAAATCCATAAGCTGCTTCAAACGGTGTCTTTTTGAGGGATGAATGGTAGGAAGTATTGTACCAATATTCTACCATTGAGAGTTGAGTAGCCCATTTCCTTGGTTGAGTGGATGTCAAGCAACGCAAGTAATTTTCAATGCACTGATTAACTCGTTCTGTCCGACCATCAGACTCTGGGTGGTAAGCAGTGCTGTAGCGAAGCTCACAACCCATGCCCTTAAATATGTCTTGCCACAATTTGCTGGTGAAGATGGCGTCTCTGTCAGACACAATTGCCAAGGGAGGGCCATGTAACTTAATGACATTGTCGATGAACGCTTGAGATACTGTTTGCACTGTATAAGGGTGGGATAGAGGGATGAAATGAGCAAACTTGGATAACCTGTCGACCACCACGAATATAACATCCTTGCCATTTGATTTTGGGGGTCCTTCGATAAAATCCATGCTCAAATGTGTCCAAACCATATCAGGTAGTTGCAAGGGGTCCAGATAGCCAGGGTATGGGCAGTTTTCTCCTTTGTTCTTCTGACAAACAGGACACTCAAAGACAAATCTGTCCACTTCTTGTTTTAGTCCAGGCCAGTAAAAGATCAGTTTGAGACGTTGATATGTGGCTTTCATGCCCGAATGACCTCCCAAAGCAGATGCATGTAATGCAGTTAGAAGTTTCTTCCTCAAGTCCAAGTCCTTTCCCACATATATTTTGCCCTTGTGTCTGATGATGGCTGAATGTAAGGTGTTTTGATCCACTGCATGGTTAGGGGAGAGGAGCAATTTTTCAAGCAGTGATTTGCAAGTAGCATCATTGCAGTAAGAATTTTCCACTGCAGATATCCACTGAGGAGTGGCCAAAGAAATTGCCATGACAGAGTGTTTTCTGGAAAGTGCATCAGCAGCAACATTTTCTTTCCCTTTCTTGTATTGCAATGTGAAATTCAGTTCCAACAATTTCAGCATCAGTTTGTGTTGGATGCTTGTTGAGATCTTTTGGTCAGTCATGAATTGCAGACTTTGGTGGTCTGTTCTAATGATCAAGTCATTGCCTGGAAAGTAGTGTCTCCACCTCTTCAAGGCTGCAATGATAGCAAGGGCTTCTTTTGTTGGGGAACGTTGCAAAAAATAAAAAATTTCCTACGGCTTCACTAAAATCAATCTATGAGTTCATCTAGCAACGAGAGAGAGGAGTGCATCTACATACCCTTGTAGATCGAGCGGAAGCGTTCAAGAGAACGGGGTTGAGGGAGTCGTACTCGTTGTGATCCAAATCACCGGAGATCCTAGCACCGAACGGATGGCACCTCCGCGTTCAACACACGTACGGTCAGCGAGACGTCTCCTCCTTCTTGATCCAGCAAGGGGGAAGGAGAGGTTGATGAAAATCTAGCAGCACGACGGCGTGGTGGTGGATGCAGCAGTGATCTCGGCAGGGCTTCGCCAAGCGTCTGCGAGAGGGAGAGGTGTAACAAGGGGGAAGGGAGGCGCCAAGTGCAAGGGTGTGGCTGCCCTCCCTCCCTCCTCTTTATATAGGGCCCCTAGGGGAGGGGGCGCCGGCCCTAGGAGATTGAATCTTCAAGGGGGGGCGGCGGCCAAGGGGGTGCCTTGCCCCCCAAGGCAAGTGGAGGCGCCCCCACCCCTAGGGTTCCCAACCCTAGGCGCAGGGGGGGCAAGGGGGGGCACACCAGCCCACCAGGGGCTGGTTCCCCTCCCACTTCAGCCCATGGGGCCCTCCGGGATGGGTGGCCCCACCCGGTGGACCCCCGGGACCCTTCCGGTGGTCCCGGTACAATACTGGTGACCCCCGAAACTTTCTCGATGGCCGAAACTCGACTTCCCATATATAATTCTTTACCTACGGACCATTCCGGAACTCCTCGTGACGTACGGGATCTCATCTGGGACTCCGAACAACTTTCGGTTTGTTGCACATTAATATCTCTACAACCCTAGCGTCACCGAACCTTAAGTGTGTAGACCCTATGGGTTCGGGAGACACGTAGACATGACCGAGACGGCTCTCCGGTCAATAACCAATAGCGGGATCTGGATACCCATGTTGGCTCCCACATGCTCCTCGATGATCTCATCGGATGAACCACGATGTCGAGGATTCAAGCAACCCCGTATACAATTCCCTTTGTCAATCGGTATGTTACTTGCCCGAGATTTGATCGTCAGTATCCCAATACCTCGTTCAATCTTGTTACCGGCAAGTCACTTTACTCGTACCATAATACATGATCCCGTGACCAGACACTTGGTCACTTTGAGCTCATTATGATGATGCATTACCGAGTGGACCCAGAGATACCTCTCCGTCATACGGAGTGACAAATCCCAGTCTCGATCCGTGTCAACCCAACAGACACTTTCGGAGATACCCGTAGTATACCTTTATAGTCACCCAGTTATGTTGTGACGTTTGGTACACCCAAAGCACTCCTACGGTATCCGGGAGTTACACGATCTCATGGTCTAAGGAAAAAATACTTGACATTAGAAAAGCTCTAGCAAACGAACTACACGATCTTGTGCTATGCTTAGGATTGGGTCTTGTCCATCACATCATTCTCCTAATGATGTGATCCCGTTATCAATGACATCCAATGTCCATAGTCAGGAAAAC